GTATACAATGAATATAAAAGATCTTAGGATCGAGACTTTTGGGATTCTACTGGTAACTTATCTGAAATGAGAAATCCATGACAACTTGTCATGCTCTATTAGAAAAAAACTTTGAATTAAGTAGCATGTTAGAGACACAACAAACAGAAAATTTATGAAGCAAAATATTACGTGGAGACAAGTGAAACGCTTTTTTCATAATCGTAAATCATAAAAGTTCACACTACAGTCACTTGAGATTAAATATCAGAGCAACAACATCTGGTGAGGACGTGAGGCCTTTCTTTTTTTTTGAAGAAAATTCTAGATATTGAGGATTTAAAAAAAAAAATGATTGTGCTCCATTTCATTGTTTACAATGTTATTTAATGTAAACAATGAAATTTCTTCCTCTCTATTTAGCAGAAATATGAGATCTGATCAACAGCTTTCTATAAGGTAGTAACTCATGAAATGACAAATTATTAGCAAATAGATATTTAAACATTCCGAATTTGTTATAAAGGTTTGCAGCCGACAGAAATCAAAGAAACGAGTTAGTGATAAAGTAGCGTTATTATAGCTCCAATTAACGCGCTCATTTATTGTTTCCATATACGTATACAATACAATATACGTAAACAATTTTGTACAATCATTTTCCTTTGTTGAAGAGTTAAATCAAATTAATGTAAATAATAAATTTAAGTTTATTTACAAACATTCCACTAAAGGAAACCACTAACATAGCAAATGATATTTTCATCAGCTTATAATAAAAAAGCATCAGTTTAACATTACAGAGGTCTTTTACAAAAAAACTTTCAGTTTTGTTACAAATGCTATAAATAGTACTATATATACAAACATTTTTACATATACAAAAGTTGCTACAAATTTGTTCTATATCTGTATAACCTTTCTAAATAAATTTCTAAATAAAATTCATAATACTTGGCTGAGATTTGATAAAGACATAATAAATTTTCCTTTTTTTTTACAAAATACTAATTTCCACAAAAAATTTGACTTTGAAATTATATCGTATATTGATTAGAAAATGAACCAAACTGTTCTACTTTTGTCAATAACTCAAATATAATGTCAAAAATTGTTTTGTATTTCATTTGTTTACCATAATTGAAATGCAAAACAATTTTTGTTTAAAAGTTCCGCTTCTTAAGCTACTTTAATCTGTTGTTTACAAGTTTTCTCCAAACTGTAACACCAATTATATTGGAGAAATCTCCAGACATTTGAAAACTAGGATAAGTGAGCATGTTAAAACTGATAAAATCTCGCGTATATAAACATTTAAATTCATCAATTAATTGTATGAATTAGTTGTAAAAATCTATCAAAATGTAATTCTTTTGATGTTTTGGATATTGCTTGAACCAAATATCATCAGCGGTGCTCTGTGATACGACCGTAAGTACTTTTTAGGGATACCTAAATAAAAATTAAAAAAACAAATTTTAAAGAAGAGCGCTTCATTAAAATGGGAAAATCTCTTAAAAAGCAAACTTCCCATGCAATTAGCTTATGTATTTAATTAAAATGACAATTTTATTTGATTATAATGATTGGTTACTTACCGAGTCATTTTTTTAAACATTTTTATTGGTTTATTATGTATATTTTTTTTATGCGTAATATTTTTCTATTTTTTATCCGTTAATATTTCTCTGTCAATCTTCTATATTTTTTATTCATTCTATTTATTTATTTATGTTGTAAAATTAAATCTTCTGGAAATGTAATAAATATATACTGAGACATGTCGAGAACAGAAAATATCGTGTTATTTTTTAATATATTCACTCATTTTATGTTACAACAATACTCAAAATATAGTTCTTCCAAGAGAACTTCTGGGTACCACTTTGGAATATATTTTTTAAAAGGACCTTTATCGAAAGATTGAAATATTATATATCCGTTCAAACGATAGCATGCTCAGTAAAATAACTTTTTGCTCAATTGTAAAAATAACATGCTCAGTAAAATAACTTTTTGGAAAACCAAATTGAATTGTGTAAATAAATATTATAAATTGAATTATATAAATAAATTAAAATGTTTGCTCTAAGTCAATAACTTCGACTATAAATTATTATTTTATAAGTTTTAGAAAATACAAGTAGAAGGCAAAATGGACGGTATTTAAATATAACATTGCAATTTGCGAAGCATTAGTGGAAAACCAAAATATTCAATGCTTCGCAGATAAAGTTTTAACTGATCTAAATGAAACTTTTCCTGATATAGGTGAGAGTGGGGAAAAGGGGGACGCGGGTGAAGTGGGACAGCCTAAAATTTCTAATTAAAAGTAGTGCCTAAATAATGTTATTTAATGTAAACAATGAAATTTCTTCCCCTTTATTTGGAAATTGCTTTTTTTCCCTTCCGCTAGAGCTCTAATTTTGAAGTACCTTAAAAGTGTTTACTTTTGGGTAAAGTGAGACAGAAAAAATAAATATTTATGCCCCCCCGACGGGCATTTGTTTTTAAAAGTTACGTTCTAAATGTATTTTAAATGTCTTTTAAACGTTTTTTGCGTAAGAATGTTTAGAAGACGTTTAAAAGACATTTAAAATACATTTAGAACGTAACTTTTAAAAACAAATGCCCGTCGGGCCGCTTCTTCCCGTCGCTATTTCATTTTTTCGAATGGTAAAGTTTTGATGATTATTTCGATTGGTGAAAAAATTTTTGATTGGTTCTTGAACATTTGCATGTCGATTAGGTGATTTTATGAGCTTCTATTTAATAATTTGTGTTAAAATCTTGTTTTAAATTTTTTTTTTTTTTTTTTTTTTTTTTTTTTTTTACAACAAAAGTATCCGTATATATTTCAATAAAACAAAATTACATATTTTTACATATAACTACAAAACGTACAATTAAACAATTTTTGTACCATTAAAATCTTTACAAGACAAAAGAAATTCAAAATTCTGTTTAGCGCATGCGCGTTGTACAGTGTACAAAATAAGGTAACTATTCGTTGTTTATAATATAAAGTGCTGGCTATTAACCCATGCATTTAAAAAATATATGGAAGTCCGTCGTACCACAGGGCTACTAGGGATTTGCTTGTGGACGTTGTTGAATATATATATATATAAAATTATTCTTAAAAAATATTTACTTTGTTGTAAGGAAACTCGCAGAAGACTAAAATAGTCTTTTCATCGAGAACCTTTAAAACATAAAATAAACTTTAATGAACTAGTTCAACAAATACACATAAGTATTTTGGTATCTACTATAGAGTAGAAGTAGTAGGGCTTTTTATTATTACTATTTTTCACAAATTGTTTAATACATTTCGATGAAGTTGGTTAAGTTAATTATGATATGTTTTAGTTTTTTTTTCAGAGCAATAAGGTTATCTATTTTATTAAGTTCCATATTTTGAAGTATTATTTTGTTATGTAAGTATGGGCCACGGTATATTAAATAAAATCGCGAGAATTTTGTTTTTTTTAAAGGCAGGGTGAAGTTGCCTGTTCCTCGTGTGATGTATTTGTTTGCGTTGATATGAAAAAAGCTATCAGTAAAGTATTTCGGAACAAGTCCGAGATTGTATTTTAGCATGAATGAGATATTTTGGTAAATATTTATTTGATAGATATTTAATGCATTCAAAGTTTTAAGTAAAGGGTCGGCATGAGTATTCACTCTTTATTATACTAGTATATATATCTTTATTATAAATTAATCTCGATGCATGTTTTTGATGTATGTAGAGTGAATTTAATTTAGTTTTATGGGTACTTCCCCATGCAATATTAGCGTATATTAGGTAACTTTGAATATAAGAAAAGAAGAGAATTTTTAAGTTGTCTTGGGAAAGCATAGGTTTGGCTTTGAATACAGATAAAGTTTTTATCTGTATTCAAAGATAATTTATTTGTCGCACTTCTACTCCCACTTGTCTCACTTTACCCCAAAGACACGGTTTCTCTTAGCGCAAAAATTTATACACTTAGTTATAATTGGCTAGAGACCTAAGGGGATTAAATCGGTGCCTAAAAAAAGGTTTATTCGTGAAAATTTGTTTGGTTCAGTTTATACATCAAATAAAAAAGATATTGTAATTATCCTCAAAAAAAATTTACGTTTCTCACTTCTCCCCACTCTTCCTATTTTACTTGAATTTACTTAGTTATACTTAAAAGAACACTTTGATGTTGTATAAAAAATAAAAAATAATACGTGTAAAAAAGAAAACGTGTGTTCGAATTTTATCTAACTAATAGATCAGAGAGAAAATTCACCGTTATGTACTTTGTACCTGGAAAAATGCCAAAAAGTACCATATACCGAATTTAGATAACATTATATACCGACCAAACTTAAAACTAATCTGTTCACTAAAGAGCCAAGGGTTGTTGCAAAAAACCATGACCCATGACCAAAACCAACGCAAGGCGACTTAAACCTATGTTTACCCATTAAGACACCGTTTTGCATTGCCAAGCAGCTCAACAATGCAGTAATCAATACATCTCCTAGACGCTCAAAAACAGTGTTTTATCCGTACAAGAAAAAAAATTAGGATCCCTAAGTAAACGGAGGACCAGAAAGTAAAGATTAGTGGTATAGTTTCCCTTTTTTCACTACCAGATGCTTCGTTTATAATCAACCATGTTTTTTTTTTTTTAAATGTCTAATTTATATTCATTTAGCTGATTAGAGAAATATTTTATTTTAGACTTTTTGAAATTCGTTTGAAATAATTTTTTATAGAATTATTTATTTTTTTAAGGCTTCAAATTAATAATTCAAAATCAAAACCAAAATATATTCACTAATAACTATTATATGTTAATATTGATTATAGTTACACAAAAGAAAAAAAAAATCCAATAACCATTTAGAGCTTATTAATGACATCATAATTTTTATAGGTTGTGCGCATTTACATGCCTATAAAGGAGCTATATGCAACAAACACATGATAATAATTTATTGCCCTTTGAATATTTAAAAAATTACTATATATATATATATATATACATATACATGTATTTTCAAAAACATAACTTTGTTGCTACCAAATTTAAAGATGTTCTTCTTGTTCGCATCGCAAACTTCGTTTTAAATGTCGTTCTAAAAAATAAATGAAATGAAAAATACTACTTTTCATGTGACACGTTATGCATTATCAGGTGAAATGTGGTATCAAACTCGTGAGCATGATTAATGGAAAGTGTATCGGGATATCAAAATAGTTGATTATGATCGTGGTTTAAAAAAAGACTTTTACTTCACACCAGAACTATTTATACAGAATTAATCTACACGCAGCAAGCTCAGAGTTTAAAAGTTTGTATATGCGTGCACTAGAACACAGTTATTAAGTAAATTACTCAAAAAAGATACTTTGTATAACCACTACTAAACAGAAGTTATACGACAAAGCCGGGGACTAGTTAAAAACACGAGCCGGGTAATATTTATTAACCAAACTTCAGCAAGTTATTTTTGGAGATCTTCTATATTTTGAGGCACTTTATTTCTGACTTTTCATTTGAGAATTATCCGGTTTACGATCGGATTGAGATTAGGACTGTTTTCTGGCCAGTCTAGTACACGAATCTTTTTTTTTTTGAAAAACATCTTCATTAACTAGGTGCATTGTCCTGGGTGCATTTTCCTGTTGTAAGATTGCTATTTTGTCTGATGTCATGCTAGAGAGCAGGTATTCTTTTAGAATTTTAATATATACTTGAGAAATAATGGTTTTCCCCCTTGGCATAAATTGTAGATAACCATGGAATATTTCCAAGCGGTTGCTTGAAACTTTGTTGGAAGTACATAAGAGTTTAAAAATATACAAATATATGCCATTATTATGTGAATATAAAACTATAATATATAAAGTAAAAATTTTTTTCTAGCCCTGGCAATCAACCCCTGCTAAATCTTATAATTTTACTGGGGCCGGGGCTTGGTTTGAATGTCTTGGTTGTCCCCGGTATCGGAGCTCTGGTCACTTTCTAAGACCAGGGCCCTGGTCACTTATTATATGGGTGTAGCTAGATATTGCTAAATTTTTTAGATGATTCCAAAGTCTTGGACATGATTGTATTTTTTTATACGTGTTTTTACTTAGTATCTTTATATATCTCTTTAATTTGACGTTTTTTCTAATAATATTGAAGTCACTCATGGCACCTCTCCACAGCTTAAGTTAAGATTGCAATCTGCAACTGTTATTATGTCAATTACATGTTGAGCCTTACTCTTCTAATCCATTTCATTAATATTTTTATTAATAGATGAATTCTAAAAATGTATGAAATTCTGAAAAAAAATAATCGATCAATGCTAATGCTAATTATTACCATAAAAAACCCTGATTTATTACCCTGAAAAAACAGGATAATCTAATATCCCTAAAAAAAAGATAATCTTTCGTTAGACATTTTAATCACTCTAGCATATGCAGCAAGAGCAAAAGCTGGTTTACAGTTTATGACCCAGACTCCTGTCAATTTTTTTAAAAAGTTTTAAAACCTTTAAACTTACTAACTAATCCTTTTGTACCAAGTTTTTTTGCAAAAAGCGAAAGCTCTATCATACTACTCAAACTATTTAAACATGTTTAGAACTTTTTAACTATCGTTCTATTATTCTTACCATGATTAGTAAGGTCTTTAATCAAAAAACGTCATCTTGAATATAACAACTTACTATAGTGTCATGGAGTTTAATCTTAAAAATTAAGTGAAAAAAAAAAGTGAAAAAAATGATATAAGTAATTTTATTAAAAACTTACATTATAAAATTCCTTGGCGTTTCATGGTCCGATATTTGTCTTTTATAGACACATTTGTTCTATTTGGATGAAATGGATATGATCGTTTAATTTTACACCAATTGCCAATACCAAATTTTTTTATTCCCTCTTTAATATATTTTTCTTCATCTTTTGAAAAAGGAACTCTAACAGTAGGATTGTATTTAACTAATAGTTACAAATAAAAAATTATTAGTAAATATCAAAAATAAAAACTCAGATAAAATTAAATAAATGAATGTCCTTTACAAATTTCATTAACTTACCTATTATTTTAGAGATATACATGATTATGTGAGATTATATATGATTATGTGATATATACATGATTATGTGATATATACATGATTATGTGAGATTATATATGATTATGTGATATATACATGATTATGTGAGATTATATATGATTATGTGATGCATACATGATTATGTGAGATATATATGATTATGTGATATATACATGATTATGTGAGATATATATGATTATGTGATATATACATAATTATATGAGATATATATCATTATGTGAGATATATATGATTATGTGAGATATACATGATTATGTGAGATTATATATGATTATGTGAGATTATATATGATTATGTGATATATACATGATTATGTGAGATTATATATGATTATGTGATATATACATGATTATGTGAGATTATATATGATTATGTAAGATATATATGATTATGTGATACATACATGATTATGTGAGATATATATGATTATGTAATACATACATGATTATGTGAGAGATATATGATTATGTGATATATACATGATTATGTGATACATACATGATTATTTGAGATTATATATGATTATGTGATATATACATGATTATGTGAGATTATATATGATTATGTGAGATTATATATGATTATGTGATATATACATGATTATGTGAGATTATATATGATTATGTGATATATACATGATTATGTGAGATTATATATGATTATGTGATATATACATGATTATGTGAGATATATATGATTATGTGATATATACATGATTATGTAAGATATATATGATTATGTGATATATACATGATTATGTGATACATACATGATTATGCGAGATATATATGATTATATGAGATATACATGATTATGTGAGGTATATATGATTATGTGATATATACATGATTATGTGAGATATATATGATTATGTGATATATACATGATTATATGAAACATACATGTAATTGATGATATATCATTAATGTGATATAAACATACATGTATGAGATATATATCATTATGTGAGATATATATGATTATATAATCATATATATCTCACATAATCATGTATGTATCACATAATCATATATATCTCACATAATCATGCATAACTCACATAATCATGTATGTTTCATATAATCATGTATATATCACATAATCATATATATCTTACATAATCATGTATATATCACATGATCATATATATCTCACATAATCATGTATATATCACATAATCATATATAATCTCACATAATCATGTATATATCACATAATCATATATAATCTCACATAATCATGTATATATCACATAATCATATATAATCTCACATAATATGTGAGATTATATATGATTATATATATGATTATGTGATATATACATGATTATGTGAAACATACATGTTTATGTGAGATATATATGATTATGTGAGATATACATGATTATGTGAGATATATATGATTATGTGATACATACATGATTATGTGTGATATATATGATTATGTGATATATACATGATTATGTGAGATATATATGATTATGTGATATATACATGATTATGTGATACATACATAATTATGTGAGATATATATGATTATGTGAGATATACATGATTATGTGAGATATATATGATTATGTGATACATACATGATTATGTAAGATATATGATTATGTGATATATACATGACTATGTGAGATATATATATATATATATGATTATGTGATACATACATGATTATGTGAGATATATATTATTATGTGATATATACATGATTATGTGATATATACATGATTATGTGATACATACATGATTATGTGAGATTATATATGATTATGTGAGAGATATATGATTATGTGATATATACATGATTATGTGATACATACATGATTATGTGAGATTATATATGATTATGTGATATATACATGATTATGTGAGATTATATATAATTATATGATACATACATGATTATGTGAGATTATATATGATTATGTGAGATTATATATGATTATGTGAGATATATATGATTATGTGATATATACATGATTATGTGAGATATATATGATTATGTGATATATACATGATTATGTAAGATATATGATTATGTGATATATACATGATTATGTGAGATATATATACATATAATTGGTGTATATATATATATCTCACATAATCATGTATATCTCACATAATCATATATATCTCACATAATCATGTATGTAATAATCATGTATATATCACATAATCATATATATCTCACATAATCATGTATATATCACATAATACATGATTATGTGAGATTATATATGATTATGTGATATATTCATGATTATGTGAGATTATATATGATTATATGATATATACATGATTATGTGAGATTATATATGATTATGTGAGATTATATATGATTATGTGAGATATATATGATTATGTGATATATACATGATTATGTGAGATATATATGATTATGTGATATATACATGATTATGTGATATATACATGATTATGTGAGGTATATATGATTATGTGATATATACATGATTATGTGAGATATATATGATTATGTGATATATACATGATTATGTGAAACATACATGATTATGTGAGATATAAATGATTATGTGAGATATACATGATTATGTGAGATATATATGATTATGTGATATATACATGATTATGTGAGATATATATGATTATGTGATATATACATGATTATGTGATACATACATGATTATGTGAGATATATATGATTATGTGAGATATATATATATATATATATATGTATATATATATATATTATATATATATATATATATATATATATATATATATATATATATATATATATATATATATATATATATATATATATGACTATGTGAGATATACATAATTATGTGAGATATAAATGATTATGTGATGTGAAATACACACGATTTTTTGATATATACATGATTTTACAAAACAGAGCAATTAGGGAACTTTTTTTTTTTTTTTTTTTAATTTTAATTCACCTCCTCAAGGTCGAGAAGGCCACTACAGACAAGGAGGCTACTTATTTGTGGTTATAACCCTTTCTCAACTCTATAACTCTGAAACACGAACCTTGACGAGCAAGGCCGCTGCGCGGAGAAACGAGTTGAGCACGGTACTACCAGGGACGTGGTGGGGATCGAACATGGAACCACTCGTTTATGAAGCGAGCGCTCTACCACTACACCACTACCGCAGTAGGTAACTTGGAAACTCTTTTATGTAATGCTTATTAAGCATTTAGTTGATTTTTTTTGAGTCTATGAACTACATCTATGCATTATGCTACAAAATGCTTTTTCAACAAGTCCAGAAACTGTGTAAAAAAAAGGTTAGAGGCTTGGGGGCTTTAATACACACCAATTGATTTAGAAAGAACATGCAAAGGAGAAATACTGCTACATCACAGAGGATTCCGATTAATGCAGCAATATTGTTTGGAAAGATTTTCAGCACTTTATTCCTGTATTTTACCCATCAATAATTTCCTCATTTCTGCATTCTACTTGTGCAATTGTTAAACTTGCTGCACAATATTTTGGTTGTAACGTTTTTATTAATGCTCTACAAAAGTAACTTACTAACCAATTTATTGTGATTTAATTGAATGTGCTACTCTATTTAAACTTATTCCCTATAAGCAAACTGACACTTTTGTGTAAGCACAGATTTATGTTTATAGAAACACAGATTAATGCACAAATAAAACTTATTACATCATTGTCAGATGAAAAATATTATTACCCAAATTTTAAAATTTTGTTTGATAAAATGAATTGATAGAAAATTAATAAACTTGCTTGATAACATGAATTTATAGATTGATAGAAAAATAATGAAAATTTGTGGTTATTGTAGAAAAATTTCCAACTATAAGTTTCCGTGCAAGTGCAGCAGTTGTGAGAAGGAAATTAATGACCGTAAAAAGCAATCAGGTATGATAATCAATAAACGCATTATAAATGTTTATAACAATCTTCATTATGATTAGTTGTATAACAACAACAAAAACAAGACTTTGTAATAACTTAGTTATTTAAACAGGATTAGTACAATTAGTAACAATAGTTTTAATAGTAGTCTCACCTTAAATGCTTCATAGTATAACAATGAAGCAAGGTAAGACTACCATTCAAGACTATATGGTGAAAAAAATTGTTAAAGAAATCTGGTCCTTCATTTCCAACTGTTGCTGCATTAGTTAACAACTAAACTAAAACTTAGAGAATCAAAAACTAATTTTTCAGTGCAATTTAAACCATAGAATTTATTAGTGAAAAATAATTAAAAAAAAAAAAAGAGTATTTAAAATATTTTTTAGTTTGTAAATAAACTTTTCTTATATAGATATTATATATTACTATAATACACTAAAGGTATTAGCAGTGGAGAGCACTTTTATTGTAAGCATAAAGTTAAAACCCACCACAAACTTTAGACACTCTTCTACCCTTGGAAGTACCACATTTAGGTTATTTCTCAGCAGAATTGTTTTTCAAGGTTTAAAGGAAAATGATTGAAAGATTTTTCAAGGTTTTATGGTAAATGGTTGAAAGATTTTTCAAGGTTTCAAGGTACATGGTTAAAAGATTTTTCAAGGTTTAAAGGCAAATGGTTGAAAGATTTTTCAAGGTTGAAAGGTAAATGCGGTAGTGGTGTAGTGGTAGAGTGCTCGCTTCATAAACGAGTGGTTCCGAGTTCGATCCCCACCACGTCCCTGGTAGTACCGCGCTCAACTTGTTTCTCCGCGCAGCGGCCTTGCTCGTCAAGATTCGTGTTTCGGAGTTATAGAGTTGAGAGAGGGTTATAACCTTAAATAAGTAGCCTCCTTGTCTGTAGTGGCCTTCTCGGCCTTGAGGAGGTGAATTAAAATAAAAAAAATTTAAAAAAAAAAAAAAAATGGTTGAAAGATTTTTCAAAATTTAAAGGTAAATGGTTGAGAGATTTTTCAAGTTTTAAAAGTAAATGGTTGAAAGATTTTTCAAGATTGAAAGGTAAATGGTTGAATAATTTTTCAAGGTTAAAAGGTAAATGATTAAAGAAGAGCATGTATTATAGTTTTATCATTTTGCAGTATACTATAATAGATTGTGATTAATCATAAACAAAAATGTTACCTTCAAATTCATCATCTGACCATTTACAACTAGTACCACTTTCATCAGAGTTTACAATAGATTTTTTATTTGCAACGCTAGATGAAACAGTTTTTTCTTTGCTGCTTTGACACACACATTCAAAAACAACTTTAGAATCATTTTGCTGTTCGTCGCCTAAGAGTTTTTTTAATGATGCTGGTGTTACAATACTTGTATCTTTAGATGTGACATCTTCTCTCAAACTATCAATATTTTTTACACATGCCAAATCAGCTGATGTTTTAATATAAATGTCGTCTGAATCAGCTGATGTTTGTTGATCACTATTTTTTGTTTTAAGGTTTTTGTAATTATAGTTTATTTGGTTGTTTGTCAAAATATGACATGCTTTATTGTTTGTGTGTATATTCTCAACTTTCACTTTTTTTTTTCCTCCAAAAATAGAATTATTTGACACAACTGAACAAAAATTTTCATTGTTACTTAATTCTGTAAGGTTTTGACAACCTATTTGTAGCTTAGAGGAATGATTGCTTGTGTTATTTTTTTCAGTTTCATTATTATCATTATTCGATCTATTTTGTTCGCAATAAATATTTTGTGTGTCATTATTTTTTTTTTCAATGTATTTTGGTGAAATAACTTTATTAATATCAACATAGCATTTGATCCCTAGATTCTCTGTTTGCGAATCTGAGATGTCAGATCTCACATCATCGAATATCATATCATCATCAGATTTTTTACTATTATCTCTAAAACACAAAATAATTACAAGGACAAAATCTTAAACTTTTCTGTGATTAACTTAACTGCTGCATAATAATTTTCATAATTAAAAAGCTGGGCACTCTGGGTAATTAAAATTTCACTGCAGACATCAAAATTGAATAGCAATATTATAACTTTTAAAAAACAATTTTTAATAAATAATTACTTCTAGTGGCTATTCCTAAAATAATGATTATTATGTAAAAAATAATATTAAATAAAAATTAAAAATAATATTAATATGTATAAAAATTGTAAATGTAAAAATGTAAAAACTAACAAATATTTATAAAAGAGGATAGGATAAAAGAGAAAATAAAAAAATATCTTATAAACATACCTCGTAAAAGATTTTTTAAAATCACTTATATACATATGTGAGTTAAGATTAGAAGTCACTTTTTTATCAGAACGAGTGTTATATATTTTGTAACTTCCTTTATATTTAAATGATTTTCTTAAGTGGTTTTTTGAATATTTCAAGTCAACAGTTTCTTTAAAAGAATCATTTGATAATTTATGTTTTGTTGGTATACAAGGCGAATCCTTGAAAGTTCCTGATTCTTTTTCTACGTAAGTTGTTGAAGACTGATAAGAATTTGGCATTGGCTCAGATGAGCTGCTATAAGTTGTATCTGTTTCTTTTGGTATTAGGGTCATAACTTGACTAAAAAAAAAAATACAAACTTAATCTTGAAAAGAATTATACTCAAAACTTATGTATGTATGTATGTATGTATGTATATATATATATATATATATATATATATATATATATATATATATATATATATATATATATATATATATGTTTGTGTTTTTTATACAGGTTGGCTGAACAGGTTTTGAAGGTGACACTTAATAACCAGTAGAGGAATCAAAATTTATATTTTCTCTTCCATTTGAACAAACAATAAATTCTACTTTGATTTGTCAAATTATTCTTTGTTTACAAGCTATTTGAAGTTGACGTGTCAGGGTATTGTTACAATGGAACAAACGAAATATTGCGCAGTGATCAAATTTTTTTATTTTGAAAGATTTATCAGCGACAGAAATTCATAAAAAAAAGGTTAAATTGTTAAAGGAATCTGCTCCTTCATTTCTAACTGTGCATGATTGATTTTAGAGTTTAAACATGGTCATACAAGCATACTAATTCATACGAAAAACACAAACAAATACATAAAATTTTTATTGTATGTATTTGTTTAAAAATTGTACAGTCATACAATTTCTATTGTTTTTCAAAAAAACAACAAGAAAAACACATTTTTTGTTTATTGCTTTTTTTTTTTGCCTTGAAGTAGTTTTTTGAAGTTTTTTTTCAAAGCGAAATTAGTTGGAGTGTAAACAAAACTTGTTTATGACATATCTATAAGTGCACTTTCAACAATTAAAAACAATAATACTAATAATAATAACAACAATAATGAATGAACTTTGGTCAGAATAAATTCTTTTGTATATAAAATAAGCAGATTGCAAGGATTTTAAGTAAAAAAAAGTATCCAGAAAAATAAAAAGAATATAGAAAAAACAAAACTTTGAATGGTTCACGAAATAATGGCACATATCCAAACTAAATATAATTCTAAAAAACTTTTAATATACCTCTGAGGTAATGCATTCTCAACTTCCTTACTAATATCAATGTCACTCTCATCAACTTTATCGAGAAAACTTTTTCCTTTAAACCTCAAAACATAAGTAAAAAAAAATTAATAATATAAAATTAATTGCCAAAAAAATAATAATAATAATAAAATACATCATCATACTATGGGGCTTAATACTATGGGACAGAAGTTATATAAAAGCTGAAATGTTTCTTTTTGGTAATTTATAAACGATAATATAAAAAGATATATAAAGAGATTAAGGAAGTAAATTGCTAAGAGTGACAACTAATGTGAAAACTTCGATTTTAATGTTTTTACTGTTTACAGAAAGATAAAATAAGAGCCATTTATTGAATATTTTAATGCTGTAAACTAGAAGACTGTTTACTTTCGAATAAAAGAGTCATTTTTGGAATGTTGGAATACTTAACACATTTGTTTCAACTTTTTTTATATCGCTGCCCTGATGAGTCTATGACCCTGATGAGTGTATTTTAGTGGTAGTTTTAATTAATTAATTAAAGTTTTAATTAAAAAATTATATAAGAAAAGCTGAAATACTACTTTTTAAATATATGACAATAATAATAATAACAATAACAATCGAAAATAAGTGGAAAACACAAAAATTGAAGTTTAAAAACGTAAACTTTTGTTTTTTAAAAATGCAAATCGCTTGGATCCTATGCTGAGTAGTTATCATTCTTTAAATAAATTGAATATGAAAAATTTCTTTAGGCATTTTTAGTCTTTTTAAACACCTAAAAATGATTCAATAACTAAGGTTCTAAACAAAAATATTTGGCAGCTAAACCAGGTTGGCAGCTAAACCAAAGGTTCAAACCATCTGCATGTTTCAAATTTGTTACTGTTAGATTAGAAATATTTTAAAGAAATTATCAAAATAATTTCACAACCTAAATTTTTTTGAATACCAAAATTACTGATCTTCTGTTTACTGATAACTCTGTAAAAACTGATTTAAAAAATGATAACCCTGTAAAAACTGAAAAAAAAAAATGATAACTGTTAAAACTGATAAAAAAATTTTTAAAGAATAAGAGTGTTATCAGCATGACAAAAATCATGGAGTTGAGCTAAAGTTTTAAGATCCTAAGATGAAATGACAATTCACGCCCCAATAAAACACCTGGTGTTGAAAACTTGCGGAGTTTTAAAGAACAAACACCTGGTGTTAAAACCTTGTGGAGGATTAAAGAACAATAGAACACATGGTATTGAAACCTTGCGGAGGTTTAAAGTAGTAAGGAAAAAAAATCAGCAACACAACTACAAGCTATTTATTTTTCATAAATCATTTTTACAATAGTATCAATAATAATAAAAATAATTTCTTTATAATAATACTGAACTTAATAGTAGTGCCCTTTTGAGCCTGTTTGACACGATACTGGCAGCCATTGCAACCCAGGTAATAGCGAGAAGAGTAGCAGCACTTTTTAGCAATATCAACGAAATATCAACAAAAGTGTATGCTAATATCTAACTTACGCAAATATCTAACTTTCTTCAAATTATGTAATGTTAAAAACATACTAAAACATATATCAAGTTTTTCAATTTTACTTTCACTTGAAAATTGCATTGCGACAACATTTCATTAAGATTTGATCTGTAGCACAATTCCGTTTGATAAAGTTTTTAATATGTTATATACTTTTGAAATTACATTAATAAGTCTGCGTAGCCAAGTGGTTAGCACTCATCGCAGCGAGCCAGAGTATCAAGTTCGATTTCTACTATCAGATTTTTTTTTTTTTAACTTGATCTTTTTTCATTTTTCTAAATTACAAAGTAAAACGCTTTTGAAGAAAAAAGTTTTTTTTGAAAGAAAGAAAGTCATTTTGTTTTGCATTTTAAATAACAAGCAACAACGAGAGAATTTAGATAATTATCAAAATAGTATTATAATTTGTGTAATATTAAAAGGACTCGAACGCTTTTAACTGATAAGGCACAAGGCATTGTAGATATGTATAAATAGTTTTATAAAGTTTAATAAGTCTTTGGTTTATAAACAGTTATAAAAAATGATAAAGCATGCTAAAGTGGTTTAAGTGCTTTGTGTGGTTTTACAAAATTCTTTTGCTTATAAGCTTAATTTTTTTTTTTAGTTTTTTCTCATCTTCTCAAATAAAAAATAAAACATTTTTAAAATACTATGGATATTATATGCATAAGTATGTGTCAAAATTGTCACAGTATGTGCCAAAATTGTCACCATGTTTGAACAAAAAAATATTTTATACATATTTTATTAGAAAAGCTGTGAAGAAAAATAAAATTTTAGTTTTTTTAATTAAACTTAAGACTTAGCTAACTGAAAATATTGCTTTTTATTAAATTTAGAGGATATTTAATTTTTTTAATTTCTATGTGAAGAGCTAATGGTGACAATTTTATCGCAAATGAAAGCAAATAACTTATTGTAGTAAATTAATATTGAGTGTATCCTCCCTTAGATTTAATTACGGCCTGAATTCTTTCAGGAACACTAGCAACCAATTTGCAGCATTGCTCAGGTGTAATTGAGTACCAAACTTCTTGTACACGACCCCAAAGTTCATTCTTATTATTAGGTGGAGTAGGAAAGTTGAAGACCCGTTGTTTAACTATTGCCCATAAATTTTTGAGTGGGTTAAGATCAGGGCTTTGTGCTGGCCAGTCAACGACTTTTAATTTCTTCTCGTGAAGGAATTTAATGGTTTTATCAGCCTTATGCTTGGGGTCGTTGTCTTGCATGAAGATCATGTTACCTACAGTTCTGCCCCATTTTCGAAGGGACTTGAAATATCCAACCTTAAGGATGTTGATATAGACAGTAGCGTTCTTTATTCCATTAATTTTCACTAATTCACCGACTCCACAAGCACAGGAACATCCCCAAAACAAAAGTTTTCCCCCACCATATTTAACAGTTGGTGTAAAATCTGGATGAATTAGGCTTAATGGTGAATTAGGCTTTCTCCAAGTATATCTTATACCATCTGATCCAAACATATTAGTTTTACTTATATCTGTCCAAATCCAGTCATAAAAGTCATCAAAAGTCATGTGTGCATGAAGTTTAGCATAATTTAAACAAGCTTGGCGGTGACGAGAAACTAACAATGGCTTCTTGATCTTTCTTCTGGATTGAAAACCAATTTTTTTGAGCTCTCTATTGACTGTCCGCACTGAAGCATGAGTCTCATAGCTGTTATTCATTAAATTAGTAACATCCTTTGCAGTTTTAGACTCTCCAGAAGCAATTAAACGAGCGATTGTTCTTTGGTCTCTTGGTCTAAAAATTTATTGTCAGGATTTAAGCCTTTCCACATTATTTTTTTCTAGTTCAAGATTTATTTTCCTCATGATGATAATAACAATACTTTTTTATGTTTTGTAAACAAAATCAAACTTTAAATGATATTTAATCGTTAAAAATCTGTGAAAAGTTGATAACTCAATCATTTTAGTAATAAAGCTATTAATTTATGTTGTATGCCTAATTAACTGTGGATAAATATGTTAATTACTTTCATTTGCGACAAAATTGTCACCATTAGCTTTTCACATAAAAATTAAAAAAAAAAAAATTCAATATCTTCTTAATTTAACAAAAAGCAATATTTTTAGTTAGCTAAGTAAATTTAATTAATAAAACTAAAATTTCATTTTTCTTTACTGCTTTTCTAATAAAATATATATAAAATATTTTTTTGTTCAAACATGGTGACAATTTTGGCACATACTGTATAAAACATGCTATAACAAAAGAAAGAGAAAGTATTTTTATAAGCTTTTTAAAATTTTTAAAAACATGAAAACACCATTGAAAATTTTTTGCACATATATCATGATAGAGGTAAAGATAAACTAATTATAAGCACACAAAGTTTATGTGCTTATAATTAATTCATTATTGTTTATGATAAACAACTTACATTGTTAATGTGCTTAAGTAATTAGCTTGTGAGTTTAACATGCAGAACACGTTTAACAGAGACAACTTTCTTACTTATAAAATTATTCTATATAAAAATATTCTATTTTATATAAAAAAAAGATTTTATATGCCAACTTTAAATTCTTCAAAATTTACGGGGCAAGAGACATAATAAGCTGCGGATGGTCTGAAAAAAATAAATAGAAACTTATTAAAGAAAAAAATAATCAAGTCCCTTCCCGCTTTTATTTTTTTTTTTCTTTATTTTTGTAGAAGTTTTAAAGTATTAAACATAAATCGTAAACTCAAAACAAAGTATTTTATATTTTGCTCTTTTTTAAAACTTATTGAAATAAAGCAAAATTATTAAAATGGTTGGAGTGGAATAGACTTATAATGACCAGTATACCGGTCCGCTATTCCACATATCTAAGTCATCTCATGTTTTTTAAAATTTTTTAAACCAATGGTAATTAAGGTATTTCAAGTGGGTATTCTAAATATTATTTTGACAGCTACTAATATCTAATTAGTTGATAAAAAGTGATTCGCACAACAGCTACCAAAACGTTTAAAGATTTTTAAAGTTACTTAAACTTTTTTTTTTCAAAACTTCAAAAAATAAACAACAAGTATAGTTTTTGTATATGGATAGAGTTATTTTTTTGCCGCCAACTAAAAAGTATTGAAGTAAGGAATAAGTATAGAAAAGGACGGTGTGAAATAGATTTACCAAGACCCGTATTTTACGGGTAGCTAGTAATTGTAATAACAACAATAATATATAATAATATAAGATTACAAATTTATTAAAAATTATAGCAGTATAATAACTAGGTCTAAAATATTTACAATGAAAATAATAATAATAATAAAATGTTATATTGGTAGTTATAAGGATAAAACTATTTATAATAATAAGTTAATGATTTATTAGGATGGTGTCACTCATACAAAAATCTGATCAAAGAATTGAAGAAGAAATGACACTAATTTACAAATATAATATAAGTAATAATAGTTAAAGGCATTGGACCAATTGTAAACACATAGACTAAAGCATATATAACATACATTAAAAATAAACATGTAGATATCATAATTTGCAGGATATAATAAAAAAATAAAAAATAAACAAACAAAAAGTATTGATGATAATTTTTTTTTTTAAACATCTTCACTTCCAACAAGACTGCAAGCAACCACTAATTAGTGTTGGAAATTACTGAAAGAGAAAAGATGAAGATTGTAGAGCAAGATAAAAATTGACAGACAACTTAAAAGATTGCAAATTATATAAACTAGGAAAGCAAAATGAAGGAAGCCAATTTCAAAGAACTGATGTTTGAGGAAAAAAACTAGACGAATTAGAGTTTTTGGAGCACTTAGGAACAGTATCAGAAAAAGGATGAGACTTAATTGAATTACAAGTAACACGAGAATGAAAATTGTAGTAATAACAAAAAAAAAAAAAATTAAAAGGATATTTTAATAGCAAGGATGATAATTTCTAAAACTTAGAATAAAATGTTTTTCAGAATTTTTTAAAATTGATTTTATTTAAGATGGAGAAAAGGTATTTTAGGGTGTAGTTTTTTGGACTCATTCAAAATGCATACAAGGCTCTTGTTCTATTCACAGATGATAAACAATAGAAAGTTTACTTCTGGGTTTTAAAAGTTGATACATTTAGTTTTCCATTGTATATATTTCTAAGAGAGTAGTAATGTAATGTGAACAAGTTTATAATGGAGAATATTTATTAATGGAGAATCGTAAACAAGCTTCTATAACTTAATCTAGGCTTAAAAAAAAATACACAAGATGTCCATTGAATATTTTTTTACAATTTCATATCAATTAACCATATCTATTAACCTATTTACCCTATATGCAATATAACATAAAATAATAACTTGATAGAATGAAAGAGACTAAATTATATTAAATAAATATATAATAAACAGACTAAATATGAATATGAAATGCACATTTTTGTGGTAAGCTTATTGAACTTATTCGTGGAGAGAAACAAAAAAGGTCTATGCTATATGCAGTTTATTTTATTCACCTTTTTTCAATCCCAATCTAACTTTCTTGTTTGTTTGTACGCTAAAAAACACAGCACTAAAAACTTAATAATACCTGAAAAAATCATGATGCTACTTTTCTAGCAATAAAAAAAAAAAAACATAATCAAATAGTCCTATTGTTCTATTGTTTCAACTTGTTTGAGTTTTTGGAGACGTTTAAAAGTATTTTCAAGATTTTTATTTATTTTTATTAAATTTAAGATCACAAGTTAAATTTAAAATCATTCAAGTTAAATTTAAGATCATTCAAGTTAAATTTAAGATCATTCAAGTTAAATTTAAGATCATTCAAGTTAAATTTAAGATCACAAGTTAAATTTAAGATCATTCAAGTTAAATTTAAGATCACAATTAAAATTTAAGATCATTCAAGTTAAATCGAAAAGCAATACTTAAGGCAAATAAATAAACTTTGCCTTTACTATAAGAATAATTTTGTAAAATTTAATCATTATATTTAGAAAATGACTTTAATAAAGTGAAGCAAGAATAACATAAAAAGGAAAAAGAACAAAAAGCCAAAAAAAAATTTAAAAAACAAATTTTTTATCAAAGTGTTAAATGCTGTCATAATGAAACTCATATTAATGAAACTGAGCCGCAGTTACTGGGAATTTTTTTAACAAAATTGGAGTAAACATTGCAGATCACAATTGTACAATAATACATTTAATAAATCAAGAAAATATAAAGAAATGCAAGCAGAAATTTAAGAATAAAATAGCCTCACAAATATTTTCCTTGTACTGGACATACTTTAAACTTTATTGGATTGTCAGGAACTGATGCTTGTCAGAAATGAATTTGGTATTGTTAACCAAATTTACAATTATTTTCATTTTCAATAAAAAGATAAAAAGTTTTTTAAAAAATTCAGCACATATGGTCAAACCACTTTTGAACACTAGGATGTCTTAAAGAAAATTATTTAAATTTGATAGGATTTTGATTTTAACAACAAAAAAGTCATCAAGTAAATTTTGCAAAATATTTTTGAGGGCCTCAAAAATTAACTCAGCCCTGCCAGAAGTGCTTCTTGATGGTAACCTGTTTTTCAGATCAGGAATTCCTAGGTAATGAAAAATCAGAATAAATAAATAATAATGATTTAATAAATAAATCAAAAATAATAATTAATAAATAAATTTCAATAAAATCAGAATAATTTCGATAAAATCAGAATAACTTTTTTATTGTGATAATTAGACTACCATTAATGAGATTAGCAACCATGGTTTACCTTCAAATAAATAAGTTGGAGATTTTATATGAGTCTTTATTCTCATAAGATAGTTGTTTAAACTAAAGGTTAAAGATAAAATAAATTAACAATAAAGATAAAAAGTAAATTCATTTAGACGAAAAAAAAATATGAGAAAAACAGGTTGAGGCAGAAGAATAATACATTAAAACAACGGAGTTTAACTACCACGGCCATTAAAAAAAAAAAGTCATTTTATTTTGCATAACGCTTCTAAGTCCTAAAAATTACAAAAAGAACATGCGGAATAAGATAATATTATATGTAAGAACATACTGCAATAAAATCATCTTTTAAATAATTAAGTTACTGTAATTACCATATTAGTAAACAAATTTACCATATTACTACACAAAGAAACAAAAAAAAAACTGACCTAGTGTTGTTCTTTTCCTTCATAAAATTGTCCTTAAAAAAGTAATAAAGTTTTATCTTTAATTCATATTCATTTTTTTTATCACAGATTTTATTTTAATTCATTTTTTTTTAAACTTAATCAAGGTAATATTATATTTAAATACTATAAACTACATTTATGTTATCTTGTATGTTATAGTTATACAATTACTTATGCATATCTATAAATCTATTTTATTAAACAAGTTTAACAAGGAAGAAAAATAGAAAAAACTTAAATATTTCTTTATCATGACAAAGGATAATTTTAAAAATCTTTTAAACTGATACCTGGGTAATTTTACCTGGATAAGCTCAAATAATATTTTTTTCTTTTAAAACATTCATTTTAATTTTAATTGTTAAACAGTAATGAACGCCCAAAAAAATTATTTAAAAATAACAGTTTTATCCTTATAAATTTATATAATTGTAATTCAAAAATTATATGTTAGTAAATTATATACAAAAATATACAATAAATTACTTTTAAAAATATGCCTTAAAATACTTTTAAATAATGTTAATGATTGGTTAACATATAGCAGACATTCAATATTTTAATTTTTATTTCGAGCAATTAGGTTTTTTTATGTTTACATTTGAATTATGAAGATTACAAATTTAAAAGTTAAAGAGGTTTAAAAACTTAAATGCATTTTTTTTTTTTTTTTTTTGCCATTAATTTTTGCCTTTTTAAAACAAAATGAATTTTTGTGACAAAAAAATGAAAAAAATTTCTGTGACAAAAGGGATCCCGAACCTCAGACACATGGTGTGTTTATAATAAAGAGAATGACAAAAAAAAAACGTTTGGGCTAAATTTTTTTGATTAAAACAATAGATTAAATGCATGCCAAGAAAAATAAACTTTTTTTTTAGTCGAAGCTCACCTTCTCCAATTTGTTGTAGGCCTAAAAGTCAACATAATATACGCCGCAGTCTACAGACTTGATATTTTATTCAAGCGTGTTTTATTCCTAAGAGTTTTAGTACATGACGTCGTTGATTTTTTTGTTTGCGTAAGAGATCAATTATGTAAACAAACTAAGTAAAATTATGTAAACAAAAAAAAAAGAACCCAGCATCCCTTTAATTAAATGATGTGGTTTCTTTAATGAATGCCATTGAGTTTTCTTTTTAAGTATTCAAATTGAACAACACATTAGTGTCACAATAAAAAATTTTAATCCTGATTCGCAAACAGGTTATTGCCAAGAAGAGCATCTGAAAGTAAAATATTTAATAATTAAAATCTGTAAGTTATACTTTATAAACAATAACTTATTAGCTGTAAAGATGAATTTTTATAGCTGTAAAAAGCTATTTACTCGTAAAAAATTTTTTATCAATTACAACAGTAACTAAAAATTATTAAAATCTACAGTTCACTTTACACAGAAAGTGAACATATTTGTTTCTTTAAATACAGGCTTCTATTTAGACATATTTTACGCTTTTATTTAGACACTAAGTGTTTTGAACATTTTTATATTGATTCTTTCTTATTTAAAGGTTTTTTTAATGCAATAAACACAGAAAGAAAAGATAACACATGCTGATTGCAGTAAAGAAAAATCCACACTGATTGTAGATTTTTTTTTTATCTTTGCAACTGTTTTTTTTTTAACTTGTTCAAAACTAATTTAAAAAATTACATATTTACAAATTTACTTTGTTTAATTTTAACTTTTACAATGTAAAAGCACTTTAGACTACTATTTGACTGTGAAACGAAATGAAACTGGCAAAAACTTAAGCAAAAACTTAAACCAAAACTTTTAAATCTGTGTTTATATGTTGTCTTGATGTCTGCTAAATGTACTTTTGTTGCTTTTCTTGATGTTTTTTTTTTTTAATGTTTCCATTAAAACAGGTGGTAATAATAGGTGATATTTATTTTAAAACCCTTTAAAAAATTTAAATTAATTCAAAAACAGGTAATAAAATGGTTCAGGGTAACAATATACAGTTTTTTCTGTCTAATAACATCTGTCCAACAATATCTGTAAATATAATGAAGTATAACTATATCTGTCCAACAACATCTGTAAATATAATGAAGTATAACTATATCTGTCCAACAACATCTGTAAATATAATGAAGTATAACTATATCTGTCCAACAACATCTGTAAATATAATGAAGTATAACTATATCTGTCCAACAACATCTGTAAATATAATGAAGTATAACTATATCTGTCCAACAACATCTGTAAATATAATGAAGTATAACTATATCTGTCCAACAACATCTGTAAATATAATGAAGTATAACTATATCTGTCCAACAGCAACTGTAAATATACAAAGGTGTAAAAACATTTGTGTAAAAAGTATTTGAATATTACAGATGCAGCTACATTGTTTCAATTATGTAAGTATAACAATATTTGTGCAACAACATCTGGAGATTTTACAGATGTAGTTACATCTTTTGAATTATTTTAAGAATAACTACATCTGTAGTTGTACATCTGTACAACTACAACTGTGGATTCTACAAATGTAGTTACATCATTTCAATTATATTAAGAACAACTACAGAATTTTTTCAGATGTAATTACATCAGGAAAATATTAACTAATAATACACTATTTAAATCATTTATTTATTATATTATGTAATTACAGATAAGACTTTTAAGTTGTAATTACATCGGGAGGAAATTTTTCCAGATGTTATTGGACCAAATGTTATTGGACCAGAAATTACCAGATGTAGTTACATCTTTCTAAAGATGTCATTAGGGGTCATTGAACTTTCAGATGATATTGAATAGATGTTGATGGAGTAAAAATAAAACAACAACAAATGATCTCGGACAAAAGTGAACAGATGGTTTCGACTAATGCAAATGTTGCTGGACAGTTGTAGTAATTTTTTACCAATAAAACAAGTCTTTAAATAAAATACTGTTTACTGAATTTTCTCATGGCCATAAAATTAATTCCACTTACAAATAACAAAACAAGTCTGCTTCTTGGTATTTTTTTATATACTTCACTAACATATGAAAAACAAACATTCTTTAAATTTTCTGGTTTAAGATTTTCTGGAAGACTGTCTTTAGATACCAACTGTTCAAGTGAATCACGGCAAAGCTAAAATCAATAAGAAATAAGTCAATAAAACAACAACAATAACAAAAACTAATGGTAAAGCTAAAACCAATAAGAAACAAGTCAATAACAACAACAACATAAAAAAAAATAAGTTTTAACTGAAATAACAAATTAAATCTTCTCACAACATCATGATCACGTAAATATTGCTTTGCACCTTTTCCACATCCGTTATCCAGCAATTTTAGAAATATCTAAAACAAGATTTATTTAAAAAAACAATCCAAAGTAATCAGCAGATTAACAGGCACATGAGACATTCATTACATTTTGGCACATCGAGGCTAAAAAACAACTAGTTGTTTAAAATAAATAACATTTAAAAAAATAATTAAAACAAATGTGATGCATTTTGTTAAGAGTAATAAAATTTAATTTATAGTCAAAAGTTTTATTAAAAGTTTTAAATAAACTTTGTTTTTTTTTTTAATTTTGTAAAGACTAATAAGTAGAAAAATAAAATATAGCAAAAACATTTGCTCAAAAATATAATTTTTTTCGTACTAAAAGTAGAAAATAAACTTTTTAATTTAAATTTAATAGTTCAGTAAACTAAAGATTGACAGGTCTGCACAAGATTTATATAGAAACCTGTCTATTAACCTGTCTATCTTTAGTTTACTGAACTATTAAATTTAAATTAAAAGGTTTATTTTCTACTTTTTAGTACAAAAAAGATTATATTTTTGAGCAAATTTTTTCGCTATATTTTGATTAACTTTTTTATGAGTTATATTTTTATAAAAACTGATTCTTATGTTCTCTATATTCTAATCTATTATATATTATAAATATATTCTATTCTATTATACATTATAAATATGTTATATTCTATTATATACTATAAATATATTCTATTCTATTATATATTATAAATATACTCTATTCTATTATATATTATAAATATATTCTATTCTATTATATATTATAAATATATTCAATTCTATTATATATTATAAATATATTCTAGCAACTGGTATGACAATTTACTCAAAATTGTCATACCAAGTACTAGGATATATTGTCAAACCAAGAATTAGGATATGTCGTCTGAAAATTATTAATTATCTATTCTGTAAATTATTAATTATCTATTTTGTAAATTATTAATTATCTATTCAAAATATTATATTTTTACTACTAATTTATTAAAAAAAAACTTTTAAAGTCTCTTATAGAAGCTAAACCTTAATGTTAATTAACTAAATTAATTAATTTAATAACTAAGTTAATTAACTAAATATTAAAGAAAGTTAAACGATATAGTAATTATAATGATATAATAATAATAACTAAACAGCAAGGTAAAATTTTTTTTATCACAAACAATGTAAATTGTGATGCATTTATAATTGAAGGTAATTAAAAAAAAAAAATGTAGAACTAAAAACATAAACACTAATTAAAAAAGATTCTGTTTTAATGTGTCATCCATAAAACGTCAGTTTTAGACCAATTTTGACTGCTGTTGAACTATTCTACCAGAAAACTCTTGAATATTAAAAACTTTACTAATAAAATAATTTGTTGCGCAGCTGAGCAAGTGTGGTGCCATCTTATCCATTATTTTTTTATATCACCAAGAATGATCATTGTTATCTTCTATAATTCTTGGTAATTGTCTCACTTTTGCTTTTACATACAAAGATAATATTCAACAAGTCCAAAAATAATAAAATAGAAATAGTTAGGCATTTTATTATTTCCTGTTATATATATTTTTGTCAAATTTTGTCTAGGTTTGCCTGAATCTTTTAAAAAGTGCTATGCCTATAATCATTTGTTGCACAGCTGAGCAAGTTTTTGCTATCTTAACTATTATTGTGATAAATCTAACAAGTGATATAACTTTTTAATGGAATGATCAATTTTATTTATTTAAAAAATAAAACGGTCACAATCTGTGGCATCTCATTTTGAAAATCTATTTTTATAGCTTCAGCGCCCTCTTTGCGCTTTTTAATGCGAAATCTTTGAATTGAGGACTTACTTATTGGAAATTCATCAGTATTGTATCCAAGTGCCTCAATAGTAGCTTCAAGAATATACACAGAATCTCTCATACTTAATTGAAAGCTGTCTAGCGCTGCTACTAACTTTAGGGTGATGAAGTTTTTCCGCATAGATACTTGTTTCGGGTTGCGTGCTCTCGATCTGAGTTGGCAAATCTTCTTCCAAATGTAAGTCTTCGTCCGAAGCAGATGATGAATCTTTTTGTAATGTATCATGAAATGATGATGAAGGAATTGACTCTGTGAAATAGTTAGATCTTCGTTTCCCTTCCTCAATAATTCTTAAGCGCGTCCTTTATTCTTTATCTGCCAGTTTTTGTCTACACCACTTAAGTGACCCAGTCGACCTAGCTCCCTTTGGTGTTGCAAAAATAACTTATCTTCTTCTATTTTAAGTAAATGAAGTGCATCGGCGTGGGCGATATCAAACAAATTGCCTAAGTTTCTGACAAACTCTTGTTGACGTTGTTTAAATACGTCTTGGGTTTTGTGTGCATTTTTTTGCAAATCCCTCCAAACTTGATATAAATTTCCAAGATTCTTTACACAATTAGGAAACGATTTCGTAGGTATAAGCGCCTTTTCCGAATAAATAATACACTTCTTAACAGTGAGATTTGCACTATTATTTAGATTTAAGTTCACTTCAAAAATGTTATAAAATAGCACTGCCAAAACTTGTCCATTAAAAGGAAGCATTGATCCCTCTATTTGATGTTTTGTATCACCTATTAAAAATACAAGTCGGCACGGGTGATCTAACCCAAACAATTTAACAATTGTTTTAACATCATTCTTACAAATTAAGAGGGTATGCGTTAAAAAAATTAAACTTAAACTTTTTTGGGACACCCTAATATATATATATATATATATATATATATATATATATATATATATATATATATATATATATATATATATATATATATATATATATATATATATATATATATATATATATATATATTTATATATTATATATATATATATATATATATATATATATATATATATATATATATATATATATATATATATATATATATATATATAAATAAAGGAATAACAATTTTAAAGTTTGGGGCAATATTGTATAATTTTTAAAGGTCACTCACCAACATCAACTTTTTTACTTTTTGGGTTATTTTGGTTCGAGATCTCTTTTAGTGTGCAATATGAAAATATAAACTAATTTACACAACATTGCATTTTAACTTTTACTTTGTACTAATCAAAAACCATGTACTATTTTTAAAACTAAATTATTAATATTGTTTACAAATTAAATAATTGAAGAAAAAAATTAATAAACTTCTGGTCTATAAAAATGTATTTGTGTTCGATATAGCAAAGAAAATTATTTAAAAAAATCTTGATAATAGTTAGAGCTTTAGGTCTCATTTATAGTTTAGCTACTTTGCCAAATTACTTGAGCACAAGAATACTTACATAAATTGCAGAATACTTTCTGAATACTTACATAAATTGCAGAAAAAAGCTATCACTAAAATAGCTGCATCACTAAAATCATAGTAAAAAATAATTGGTTCATAATTTATTTTATTGAATGAAAAAAAATGCCTATTGATTTTTGTTTTTATTGTTTTTTAATGACTTGGTTCCATAGATCAACAAAGATTTCTGTGGCAGATGAAACTTTGACCTGTGTTCAGAGACTACCTGCAGCAAGAATTGCTTTTGTTTTTCATTTTTGTTAATTAAAAAGTTAAAATCCTGAATTATTTTTAAAGTCTTGAAAAAATAACTTAATAATATCCTGTAATATGAGATATTGCAGGATATTGTTGAAAATCAAAATCTAATAAAATGAATCTGAGTCGAACAAAAGTTACTACCACAAAAATGTTACTACCACAAAAAGAATTCATTAAAAAAAAAATGCTAGAAATCAGCAATCATAAAAAGGAGAATAAAAATGCATATTAAATGCTAATAAAATCATTATCATAATTGTTTGAATGACATTTCTTGCAGTACTTGATAATTTATTTATTTAATATATAACAAATAAAATACAGCTAAGTACTAATCTTAAATTTAAATTATTAATCTAAAAAAATTAGTACTGTATTTTATGTTATATATAAAATAAATAAATTATCATAATTAAATTTAATCAAATTAAAAGTTACTTCATAATAAAATAAATAGATAAATGAAAAAACTAAAAAATTTACAGTAACATCAAAATGAGCAATTCCATGTAAAAAAAAAACATCCAGGGCATGCAATTTAATTCTCAGATTTTGCTGATTTTTACACCACTCAAAGACTTCAATAAGTTATGAACATTTCAAAAACTTTATCATCTAATTCCAAACAGTTTCAAAGATATGACTCTTCAAACTTTACCTTGAACCAATAAAAATCCAACATTTTGAAAAATGGTTTTGGTCATTGTTTCTGTTCTATGTGCAATGGAAAGCTGAAAATGTGTACACTTACATATTTTGAGTCAAGGAACCCAATAAAACAACTTTAAATATTCAAAAATTACCATAACACCTGTATTTTTGACCTTTATCACAGTTTTATTGGGGCAAGTTTAATTACAAAAACGCCAATTAAACTCAAATTTTTTTTTTCTTTTTTTTTTTTTTTAGATGTCACCCTGAATAGTTTAGTTAAAGGTATTACAAAGAATTGGAGAGTGGTCTTTTCTTAAACAGAAAAAAAAATGGCAAAATTTACTTAAATTTGTTACTTAAAAACAGGAATTATAAAAAAATGAAAGAAAAAAAAGGTGGTACTCTTAACAATATTTAACAATTTTTGGAAAATATGCTCACTCACCCTGAGCTTTTTAAGACCCTCTCCCCTCTTTTGTTAAAAACCCTGACGCTTTCACATGGATTTTTCCCAATAGGAAAACAACCCAAAAATGAAAAATGGTAATGAGCTACCTCTATAATTCATTTAGATTTGCTAAAATTTGAATGTCTTAAATCATGACGATGGTAACTTTAGTGGTGACACGCCATCGGAGACCACTTTTTATTAAATTTAACAAGTCTAAATCTGCTTTGTTTCAATGACATCATTTTTGGTTTGATTTTTATGAATTTTGTATAACATTTTTTTTTAGTTTGATAATGGCTTATACTTTATAAGCCAAAATATCACTATTAAATAATAAAAATAATATATAACCAAAAATG